TTACGACATCATGTTATCATGTGACACTCGTGACACCACTCATGCGTAGCTATTCCAGTGAAATTATATGTCATATTTTTTATTCTGTAATTTTACTGTTTAATTTGACCAAAACAGATCACAGAGCAAGCTTTTTGGTAGCTGAAATAGGTGAGACTGAGGTACAGACGACTTTTTACAGTGTACGTCTGGCAAATGTATATTAAATATATAAAAATATTAATATTTCAATCACAATGTTCACTTCAGGATTATATAGTCGCCTTCATGTAAATCATATTACAATAACTGGTTATTATAAACATATATTTATATACACTGTATGTTATAGAGATATATTTCATACAGAATTTGTACGCTTTTTATAAAGTTAAGATTTATTGTTAAGGGGGTCTTCCTATGTGACGGCCTGTTTTTTAGGGATATTTTAGGATTTTTTTTCTACGACCAGTAAATATTTAGAGCTTCAAGTTTTTTATCATTTATTAACACATATTTGGACAGTATAAATATAAAATTTCAGCTAAAAATATTCAGTCAAACTAGAGTTACAGCGCTCTGAACACCCCCGCCTCGAAAAAAAGAGCTCCCACTTCCTCCACGATTTCGGCTGATCGGCTTATCTGAAAAAAAAAAAAAAAAACGGCGTTTTAATTTGTAGGCTTAAAAGCACGGAATGACCTATAATCAAATGAATATAAAAAAATTGGATTTTTGATAGACATTTGAAATAAAAGTTGCAAATTAGGCGTTTTTTTTTTTTGTTTTTTGCTATAAAAAAATCGAAGTTTTGAAAATTTTCGATTGATAATAGTTCATTCCATGCGTTTACATATATTGAGTGTGCCCTGTAAATTTCAAGTAATTCGGTCCAGCCGTTTCTGAGATACAATGGAGGAAAGTTTGAAAAACACGTTAAAAACGCGTTTAAAGTTTCAAGTCCGTTAAAAACTATTAAAATATCAACTTACTCTCAATCGGCGATGCCTGGTCCATAGAGTATTCCTTCCTCTTCCTCGTGAAACTCTTTTAAAGCAGATTGTTCAGCTCTTGAGTCAATCCTGGCTTGTTTAACGACATCACTTACGCGCCGCTCAGAGCGTAAGATTCGCTTTTCATCCCGTTTCTCAACATACGCTTGGGCTTCACGACCAACAGGGCATCCCATAATCGACATAACTTTTAAAATACCTTGAAAACCTTCATTAAAGATAATAACTGCTAAGTAGCTAGCAATTTCAACAACTTTGGGACCAGAATGAAGATAATTTTAAAGCCTAGGCCTCGGAAACTTGATCGCGAAATAGACACGTCACTTTTACAAGTTTTACATATAACTATTTCAGAGATTGCAGCAAATACAGAAACAAACTCCAAAATGCAATATGCGAAATTCGAAGCGATGGGAACATTCATGTTCATGTTATTTTTAAGTTTTTTGGCCGAAGCTGATGTAAATACCGTATCATTTTGGTGGGTAAAACGGTTTCCACTAAACTTTCTTTTTTTACTACGACCAGGATGAACATTTCCACTCGTACTTCCTTTCCGTCCACTCATTATGAAAAAAAATAATTTGTAGCTGTTGCTCTCTTCGAAGTTCAACCAAGACTAAAATAACTTCGGTAAAATATTATAACAATAGAAATTTCTGTTTAAGTCTGTAGAAACGTGTCTAAACTTGTATAAACAAATATATTAATAAAAGGGAGGCCAGGTATAAAGCCGACGGTACACAATAGGGCCGGTCTCTAACTGCCAACTCACCGCTCCGAACCGCTCTTTCTTTTACCTGCTGTATCTTTAAAACGACTTCGAATTTTCTAAAATCGCTTTACTACCGTATTCTAGACATGTTAAGGGAGCAATTAATGAAAAAAAATCGATTTTTTCAACCCATCACATAGGAAGACCCCCTTAAAGATACTGGTATCTTCAAATTCTGTATGAAATATATTTCTATAGAATAATATACTAAAATATAATTGTTTATATCGACTGCGAGTAGGTAGGTATATCAATTTATATGTAAAAACATCTATTTATCAGTTTTAAAATTAAACTACTTTTTTATTTGTTCGAGTATAATTATTAAAAATCACGTCTGTTTGTTTCAACCGCCATTCACGGGTAGAGTTACGATCATGGCGGTTGAAACACTGCCGAAACATCGGGAACTCAATAAAAATAAAATGGTAAGATCCCGTGATTATTACTAATTATTATATGTATAAATAATGACCGAGTCAAATTTAAAACAGTAGGTATATATTTTATTAAAGGGACACGAAATTATATTTTAAGTAACAAGCAATGAAATTCTCGCAACATATAAAATGTAGGTCATTTTACCTTTATTACATATACCTACCTACACACGAGTACATCTCCCGAACCATTGTACCAATTTTCGGAATAAAACACAGAAATTCAACATTTCCTTTTTATTGAACAACGAACTAAACTATATTAAATAATATTTATTACAAATAATAATATAAATCATGACAATAAAACAAATTAATAGCATATCAATTTTTGTGCCATTTATCAAAAACTAATTGGGATATTTCGTTTCAAAATACAGTCAAGTACAAACAGATGGCGCTAGTGAATTTGTATACTTAAAAAGAATAAATAATATGTTACAAATTTTTCCAAAATTATATCTGTCAATTATGCCTGACGTCAAGCCAAATGTTTGATGTCAGAACAAACGCTATCATATTAGTAGGTAACTACTTATTCTATGTCCAATTGTACTTAACAAACATAATTTGAAAAAGATCAAACTAAATATTGCTGCACACACGGACTAGTTATAATGAGTTGTTTTTTGCAAGTGATATATTGTTATCAATATTCTCTGGAAGATGGTAGATGCTGCTATGCTATATTTGAGATAAGATGTGAGTAAATGGTGAACTTACATCTTATCTCAAATATAAGAAATTCTTTAATTATTATCACCTATCTTCTCTGGTACGTACTAACTGGTTGGCAAACATTTAAAAACACTTTTAAAAGTAAGGAACATCCATACTCCTGGTTTTCTTTTTGATAATTTCGTTTTATCTTAATTATATACATCGGATAGATCCATAACATCCAGTGGTATTTTTAAACCGCAGTACGTACAAGCTTATGTTTTCAGTAGCGCCATTTGATTCATAAATAAAATTAGAATAAACATATTTTTGAAAAGCTGCATGTTTAAGACGTAATGATCGGTTTCACCCCCGACTGTCAACACTTCAAGGATGTTATTCACAATTAATATAATCCCATGATTAAGTTTAAAAAGTTATCATAGTTTAACATCTTTGGCACTCTTCAAAATTTCACTTCTTACTAGGATTGCTATCTTCCATTTCTAAAAGACATTTCTTTTTATTGCATTCGCTTGAATTTTGTAAGAGTATTTATTATATTTTCTGTAAGAATAATAAGAGATCTGAGAAGAGTAATAGGATTCATTTAATGCCAGTTTGAATGACAAAATCGTCATTATGACGTCATACTTGCGCTCCACTTGACGTAATGTTAAATATTACCAACGACAGATTGTATTTATATTTATATATTCTATGTATCTATGATAATATCTATGGCCATCAGTTAACTTATAATCCTTTCTAATTCTACCACAGCGTGTGTGTAGAAAGACACGATTTTTCAGTCTAAAAGGCTGATCCGAGAATAGCGCCATTTCATAAGCCAATTAGTAACAAGTTTAGATTCGTCTACGTTATTATTCGAAATTTTGGCACGGAATGTTAAAGAGTAGACTGTAATAGCTTCTGCCTTTCACCTTCCTATCAATAGAATATTTTGTATTTGTGTGATAAAGTGTTACTAATTATCCGAGTCTATAGTAATAACATATTATTTATTATTACTAATATGAAATAGTAATTTATGACGTCAACTAGCGCGCAAGTAGCTGTCAAACATCAATTATTTAATAGGTTTAATTAATTGTACATATCTCAAAGCAAATGTTCTAATTACACATTTCTAGAATGCAGTTTAAGTAATTATTACATTAAACAATTTATACCTTTTTCACACTATAATCATAGTTTAAAAATATCATATACAATATTCAGAATAAAAGGCATTGTGGTATATGATTACCCCGTAAATAATTCTTAACTTTTAATTTGAAATTAAACTAATATGTGATGATATATTAACAAGCTGATTCAAGTTCGAAATATGATAAAATAAATATTTCGAACCACATTTTCGAGTAAATTATTCGCAACATTTATATATTATAATTAATAACTGCCAAGTGTTATTTACATAAAATATGTAATTTTATATACTAAAAGAATTTTAGATACTATTAAATAAAACTTTTTAATGGCATATCTAATAATTGTCCCACAGAACAGAAAACAGGACATCCAATCACAAAATTATGCAGATTATATAGATACAAATTCACAAATGCTTCAATAGTGTCCATATTATTATAAAATTTCAATAGATATCAATTCATATAAGTTGTATATCACAAAAAATTCTCATTTTAACAATGTTCGTTAAGAAAACAAATCATAAAAATAAAACAGTTTAAAGATTAAAACCATAATGTCAATAATTTTGCGACTATAGAAACATTTGCAAATCAGATTTGTTATGGGGTCCCCTAGTATTACATGAAAAATAGAAATGCCCAATAAATAACCTAAAAGTGAGACAGAACTTGTTATTTATAACGATCCAGTAACTGTTGCGGTCAAACATTTTGAACTATTTTAAAAAGAAGTTCCTTTTTAAAAATCCAGTGATATCGTAAATATAAAAGTTTATCTTTTATATTTAATTTAATTTTTTTTATTTAAAAGATAAAAATAGACCGATATCTTTAGAAATATGATTTACACAGGATAATTCTTATTCAATTTAATGAAGTAGATATCTTTCATAAATATTTTTAGTATTTTCATTTAAAATGACATTAAATTCATTTATATATTACTGTTATAGGCATTTTTATATTTATATGAATTGGGGGGGTCCCAATTCAAGCAAAAGTGCTACGTGAATATCACGCGATTTTAGTAACTAACTTCCACAAAACATATAACTCATTTCACATTCCATCACTTCCTTTTTGAACCTATCTTTACACTCTTTCACTGAAAAATAGACAAACAGAGCTCAATATAACAGCACTCGTTACATACATTAACAGATATGGAGATAGGGGATGTAACGACTTAAATTTACATGAAAATTAAAGATGCTGATATACATGCGGCCTTCAGGTTGCCGAAATGCGACACGTTCCGATTGGCCCATTAATTACTACGCTCCCAGCTCTCAAAAAAGGCGGGGCGTTCCAACCAAATTCACACTCGAAGTCATTCAGGGAATCTGCCAACTAACCAACTGTATAGCAGAAGCCTATGTACGTTATTGGTAAATTACTAACCCTGATGTTACATCTGTTGATAGCAAACTAGCTACTGAATGAAAATACCATCGGTACACTTCTAATTTTTGATTCCCTATACTAGAAACATGACTAAATATGGTCAAAACTGTACCACAGTACCACGCAAAGTCTAAACATCTCCTTGTCAATTACATAACCTGTCCCATGCCCGCATACCAATTCCATACTCATTTTTCAATAATGGGAACAACTCTGAACTGTCAGTCTCCTTAATATACCTATAAAAGACACAAATTTTAATAACAAGTCTTTGAGAATATATTTTTGAGTATGATAGTGTCAATTTACGTAAAAAAATACTCAATGACATTTCAGAATTACCCCGAATGCTGTATTTCTGTTGTGTGATACAATATCCCAACTACATTCATAAATACATTGAAAACAAAATCTAAAATTTATGCTTTCGTCAATATGACTATAAAAAAGCACACCTTACCCAAGTACGGCATCCAAACCCCACAGAAACATGATATTATCATGGTAACATAACACATTCACTAAGCACCATAGTCTATATATAACGCTGCATCGAAATGCGTCGAATTTACGTAGAAAGTAGAAACTACATGAGGCAACACTGGCTAGGATCTTGGCCGACGGGGGCAGCGAAGCCGGCTGGAGGCACTCCAATATCTCCGACCAACTCCGTGGGCGGTTGGCCTAAATCTTGCATCTGTAAGTTGATTACACTATGTTAGCGAAAAACCTAAACATATAAATAAAATAAATATATAAATAAACCTCTTAGATTACTTAATAATTGTCTATGGAAACAGTGAATGACAGGAGTAATAAAGTGTGTATAAGATACAGTGCAGGCCTATACTGCTCAGTTCTCACCGATTACACAGTAAAGTAAAGGATTCACCAAGAGTAGAGATATTATTGTTGATTCTGATGAAACCAGAATGAAAATGGGTCATTGTCTTCATGAAAAAACATATCAGATGTAAGGATGATGAAACTTACTATAGCTTATCTTTGATTTGCACGTAAAGGATTTGGCATAACTCATACATATAAAAATATTAAAAGTTACCTTTTGCATGAGATCTAGAACCTTCTCAAAACGTTTCCTCTTGACATCATCAGGATCGGACTCTTGTTCAGGTTCTAGTTCAGCGCAGACCTGTTGCATGAGAAGCTGCTGCTTTTCGAATCTGGAGATACAGTGTATATCTTAATAAGTACTAATTTCTATACATGTATAAAATGTATGTATTGCCACATGCTATTCTCTATAATTATTTAAAAGCTTCTAAAAATATTTTACTAACCAGCAACCAACCCTGATTTTGGCTGGGTATTTCAACCAACGTACACACAATATTAACGAATTATATACCCAAATGTTTCTAAAAAATCACTCTATTGATGGATCAAAACCGCACGAAAATCGTATTCATAGTATTTGAAATTATCGCGATTATACAGGCAGACACAGTGAGGGCCTTTAGATATATTATTAGATAATATCTCATTAGGTTACTGAATGTTTATTATTCACCTTTCATATTCAGCCGGGTCAATCTTTCCTTTATTTTCAGTCAACCATGCTGGATATTTGTCCACTAGCTCCTTTAAGGAAGGATATAGAACTTCCTTTGAAAGCAGTGACTGCATCATGCCTTGCATGAATGGAACAAACATATTTCCATCCTGTAAAATAAGTTTTTTTTTATATATAGGTAACAGATTGTTGAATTATGAAAACAAGATTTACAAAATGAAATTTATTTTCATACCGTTTATTGTTTTTGAAAATAAAAAAAAATATAGATACATTGGAACTACTAAAACTACTTACTTGTTCACCTTCTCCCAAATTGAAGTTATTAAACATATTTGCAAAATCTTGTTCAGAGAATGGTGTCTGAAGGTTTTCTGAGTTTGTGTTCAAATTTTGCAAAGTTTGAGATATAGCTGCTGATACCTGAAATATGGAATCATATTACATATACTATAGCTTCTAAGTTCTAAGTACATTTACAGATTAAAAGTTCTAAGAGTTTACTTGCATGCACAATATTACCTAAAAAATGTATAGTACGATTAAATAACTTTTAAAGGCACTTTTATATTCTGGCACTTATATTACTTATTTCTAAGGTGGCAGCAATGTATGTGACATTATGTTTCAGTTTTTCGAATTAGATAGACAGAAAGTTTAAATTGAATTAATCCTAGGATTGGCAATGCAGGTCCATGTTGAAGGGTGTTCTATGTCATTACATAATTGTCATTCTATAAAGCTTCTATTTAAGTCAGTCATATAAAAGAAAAGTAAAAATTGGTCTACTATAATTCTACCTCATCAATTTTTCCTTGAGTAGCAGGTTCTTCAGTAGAAGTTGGTTCTCCCTCAGCATTCGCCGGTTTCAGGACTTGAGCTGCAGCCTCTGATAATGGGAAATTGATTATAAAAACTAATGAGTCATAAACAACTTACTTGAAGTCATTTTTTATCATTTCTTATGTTGTACTTATTTAACTTCACTTATTACTGTATTTCTGTGTCAAATCATCCAATTAACTTGCAGCATTTCATTTTAGCAGTAGATTATCTTAAACTATATAAATATTAACAGATCAGTAGACTACACTTTAGAGATATTTTCAAAGTCAACCACATGATTGATCAATAGCCACCTGTAAGATTATAGGGTTTGCTGTTACTTTTACTACTCAGAACTGTAAGCCATAAATACAATTGAGTTATATGTTGATTCCTTCCTTATTTATGATATGTTAATACTATTTCCTACTCACCCGCCATTTTACTGAAGGTCTGTGCAATTTGTTCCTGTGTAATTTGGTCCTCTGAAAGTTATATACAATCATTTAAGCTGATATTGATAATATATGTATAATAATTCTATGGTACACCTAGCCATGCTTATGGTATATATTGGTGTGCACTGGTGGAGGATAGTATCAGTTAGCGCATTGTGGTAAATTTATTAGAAATAACCACAATTGTTTCCACTGGGAAAAGTATGGAGTTTTACCTTATAGAGCACTCATTGCTAGCAAATCAGAAGTTGCTAAATGCTTTTTTCTGTATGTTGTAGATTAGATATGAATTTGGTTTAATATAATAAATGGGTCAGATTGTAGGTAATATTGTGTCAAACACATAAGCTGATAAACACCTTGCAGCATTTATATATCAATATATATGTAGGCACTCACTTTGGGGAATTTTTTTGTGTGTTTTCAGAGAAAATTGAAATTGATTAGCACTAATTATCATTATCTTATCAGTTTAACTATGAAACTATGATGGTCTTTAAACTTCATGTGCAACAGAACAATCACACTCCTCAGCACTCTAACAATTAATTAAAGACATTAAATTGCTTTTTACCTGGCACTCCACTAAAATTTCCCAATATGGCTGCCATATTGCTCTCAAACTGTGATGCTGCTTCTTTGATAAAATCCTCGCTCCACATATTCTGTGGCATTTCTCCAGAACCTGCTTCACTTGGCTGTTCTTTTTTCTCATCTTTCTTTGTCATATCTTGAAGGGCACCTGGTTATATATTTTTTTAATTAGTCAGATTATTTTACAATATTCATTCTTATTCAGTGATTTTTATTTTAAATCAATAATACATTGTAAATCATCACATATACATTTTATTAATCCTAATTTTATCATGAGGTAAATTAGCTTCCTTTTGAAAAGTTTGGCTCCCGTTTAGGCTATAACATGTTGAATGTTACTTATAAGTAAAAAAAAAATATAAAATTGTCAATTACATAAAAAATATGTAAGTATAAATGTGCCATAGGACCATAAAACAATAGAAATAGAATCTCATTAGCATTTTATTATATATATTGTGGCATATAATTCATGAAATATTAATAATAAAATCTATTTTATTGCTACAACATAATGATTTTATTACACTGTAACAGATAAAAAGCTACTTTGCAAATAACCAACAATTTAATTAAACCATATATTAAAATACAATTATGCACATTTTTTTATTTTCATATATATTTATTAAAATATAGCACATTCTAATTAAATGAACATTAAAGCGAAATCAATGAATACCTAGTTATTGTGAATTATTTAAACGGATATTTTATTTATTTGTTTCAGGTGGGGAATCATCTGCAGGACTATAAAAAGATATTTTAGAGCCAGGAAACAACATTATAACATAGTAACAGAAATGCAAGTTAATCATTATTAATATGTTGTACTAAATATTTCGACAGAAACATACAAAAATGGGTTCGGTCAGTCAACGCTGTAGGAAACAGACAATAAATAGTAATCGTATAATCAACAAATTAATAGTATACGAATGATATAAATTAGGTTATGTATTGTGTAATAAGACAATAAATATACAGAACCGTAATAGACTTACTATCCAACAAATCGTCTAACTCTGGGTCGACGTCCTTATTAGGTGTATCTTTTCTTTCCGACATTATTAAATTGGTTTTATTAGAAATTTTTTGTATATGATAATAAAAAATTATTGAAAAAATGTAATATAGTTCAGAATTCTTCAATGATCAGGATAACTAATCACCAGACCGAATATCTACAACTGACTTATCGGTCAGTGGCGCTTTAACACTCACAAACTTGAGTCAGTCAGGAAGATGCTGTCATCTATTCTGTCAAATCATATTGTCAATTATGCACAGAGGTATAGTAAGTAGAGGTATACCTCTACCTACTATACCTCTGTGCATAATATGCTATAGCATAGAGGAACCACTTTTTTACCAATTATTTCAATGCCACGAATATTAGAATAATTAAAAAAAAAATTGTTATATCCATACGGCCAAAGCCATCGTAATAAATTTACCACGATGGGCTAACTGACCTGACCTCATGCACATCTTAACATCATTCATTGGCGCCCCGCCAGCCTAAACCGTCAGTGCAGACGGGTGCACGATATTATTGTTTAGAAAAATGAATGATAATTCATTCATTCATTTTCTATTATCATGGATATCATTCTTTTTCTATACTAGTGAGACTTACAGAACGGGTATAACATGATGGCGTTGTAATCTCCGTAGTGTTTGTCATGCATATTATAGGTGAAGACGATCACCAGTTACCATCAAGTGCCCGTTTTATTTATGTCTTATAAATACCTACTTATTTAGATACATAATCTATTCGGAAATTAGGAATTTCGTAGCAAAATAAAATACGTTTCATTATTTGTGTCATTTTATTTATACACCTACCTATACATATCTATATACTTATATAAATTTATAGTCGTCATGAGACCTGAACATCCGGGTTTTTTTTATAACACAAGGGACAAACGAGCATGCGGCTCACCTGATGGTAAGTGATTACCGCCGCCCATGAGCACCCGCAACACCAGGGGAATTGCAAGTACGTTGTCGGCCTTTTAAAAAGGAATAAGCTTTTTTCTTGAACGTTTCAATATCGTATCGGTTCGGTAATACCATTGCTGGAAGGTGATTCCACAATGTGGTTGTGCGTGGCAAAAAGTTTCTAGAAAACCGCACTTTAGAGGACCGCCATTCATCCATGAATCATGATCAGGATGGTATTTTAGTTTCTGGCGGGTGGTACGGTTGCCGGGTTGCCGGTTGTGATACATAGCCTTTGTTATGTAGATAAAAACAATTGAAAAGTATTAAAACCGATTCTGTATAATCAACTGTTCTAACCGAAGTAATATTGACATCATTTAAATCATTTTGGAAACCCACACAACCAAATAGACTTAGGAAATCAGTTCATAAGAAATAATTATTGGGTTCCACTCGTATTATATCGAATCGATCATAGATAACATATTTTCACTGAATACGCACTTTATCAACCAATAGGTGCCTAATAAAAATATACAAACATAACATTTAGTAATACCAGCACTACCTAAGTAGAATTGATATTAAGTTAAAATATTAACCATATCACCACAGATTTATTTATAGAAAAAAACAACATTTTCGACTATGACAATTGTTCAGTTTGATGTTCTTCTGCATTGACTTTGTTAATTGGCGCCAAACTTTTCAACACGTCGTCCAAGTAGTGAATCGATGATGTGATGATATGCATGTTGGAATAGATCATCCAAGCCAGAAATCCATAAAATAATATTTGTACAATAACATCCACTATATAACGGCTGGAACAAATATAATAGATAAATTAGAATATCTACCTACCTATCTAGAATCACGAATATATATCTACTAGGTGTATTAGAAATTATTTTACACTTAGGTACCACTAATAAATCAAAACAAGTCATTATACTGTGTGCGATGTAGCATGGTGCGAGTGACAGTCACTAATTTTACATTTAACAATTGCTACATTTAAGTAAATATAGTTATTAATGATTTAATATATTACGAATGTGGTATAGCTGAAATACTAAATCATAATTTGTAAATTGCGGCAACTTTTAAAGTGAAACGAAACATTAATGAAATTGTCACCTGCACCATGCTAAAACGCACATGGTGTAGTAGGTATATAGGTATTTAACTACTAGGAGTAAGTAGGTACAAGAACTAAGTCTTGACTATTAGATATATTTATTTCCATCAAGGATATTGCTTTTGAGCTCCCAGCTTGGTTATCGCGTGTGTTTTATTTACAACCATACATTACCTTTAATTATGTAATATAATATAATATGCAATAACAGTTTTGATGTATTTATTTATATAGGCATTTAAAGAAAAGAAATAAAACTTACATTCTCGCCAGTTTGCGAGCTCTTGGAATTGTTGATGGGTCTTCTTTACAGCAGAATTGTCTGGCTCCTAATACATAATCCCTTAAATATTCATCAGCTCTCAGAGTGGCGAGATCTGTGTAAAAGGTCTTATTGTCTTCATCGCTCACTCGTTTACGGAGAGAATTGAAATTATCATTCTTGAAGTACCACTCCTTCGTAGTGTAATATTGAAGGACGCTTAATCCGTGACTTATACGTTTTTGGACGTTAACAAGACTGAAAATAATGGAAGTTTTGTTTTAAAAATTGACTTCAACTGTGACAAAAATAGTAGGAGCGTGTAACCTAAAAATATGTCTTTTTAAAAAGATTCAAAATTAATAAAGTCTTTGTCTACCCAGTGCATAAAAACCTTTTTGTGTATAAATAAAAAAAAAATCAATAAATACACACTTTCCTTCATGACAACAATCAATAATTTTACTAATATTAGAAACGCGGTTTGTATAGATGTATCTATAGATGGATGAATGAATGTCATTATTAGTATTACTTACAAAGTCTTTCTCCCCATTAAGAACAGGAGACCATCCACTAAATAAGCAGGTATGATATGGTAAAACAAAACGCAAATTTGATGGTGCCAGTAATATGACTTGATATTTCCACCAGGATGCCACAGAGCCAAAGTGTGAGGATATTTATTCACCCATTTTTTTCCTGAAAATTACAATTTCAATCAAGATTTATTTATTACATATGTTGGCGACAAATAGAAATAGAAGATAAAAATAAAAATGTAGGAATATTTTTTTTTTAAATTGGGTTTTACCAATTACCTAATTCAATTATCTCTCCCCAGGTTATCCTTATAATTCTGGAGAGTGTCACATTGTAAAACGTAACTTCTTTTGGTCTGAAAAAAAATAGGAGAAATTTGTTAAATGCCCCAATTTATTGAACATACTGACGTATGTTACTATATGAACTAAAAATAATTGTGTCAAAAGTTAATAATAATGTATTCCATATTTTAAAAAATCCAATTAATAATCTTATTACAAGGAAATAAAGAGTTTTTCTAAAAAAACAGTATAACATCTGCAAAAGTGTAAAAGTTAATTTCAGCAAAAAATGTTAATTATATTTATTACGAATCTTACGTCGAGAAATAATCTATTTTAATAATAGCTAACGGGAATTCAAATAGCGTCATTTACTTCCAAATTGGGCCCAATCTATGGATACTAAATAAGGGTTATTTATTTTGTCAATTAAATTTTATAATATACCTACGTATATAAATTGATATATATATATACTTACTTGTCCAAAGCTGTAATGTATGCAATAAGTAAACATGCATTAACTACCACATCTACGGCCATCGCATCGACTGTATATGTTGGTTCACAGTGCATTGTACGAATAACGCCTGAAAAAAAAATTGTTTTGGATAAGGGTTTAGTTTGCCCACATGATAACTTTTTCTAAGAGTCCTGCTACATAGTTACTAATTTGTTATTGGTTAAAAAGTATTAAAATTGAAGACCTATCATTTTACTTAATATATAAGATTTTCTATGTACGGTGTTATAATGTTATTTAATTAAACTTTTTAACTAATGAAATAGCATCCTTGTATTCAGAGATAATAGATGACAACAGTAGATTGTTTAGGTCCATTTTCATGCGATTCTCCCTACATAGCAAATTCATGCTCATCTTATCATATTCCACTGGTGTCCCCGAGTATACCGTTAGCGCAAACGGTTATAGCATTCTATGCATACATTAAAAAAATATATAAAAACGAGGCCACAGGGTATTTCTATTTATTTATTTACCTTTGCCACTTCCGATAACAAGACCAGTGGCTCCATTCAAATTGTCTACCCATCCTGGTATCGGCTCCTTCCACGCAGAAGTCACTTGAAGAAAACAAAATAGAAACAGTTATGTTTAACTTTAGGAAATCGAAAATCCTGATTACAATTTAATAATAATGTTAGGTTCATTAAGTATATACATACATGCGTATTGGATGAATGAGTGAATAGTTTCTCTGGTCTCTATTTTTAATGTAAGAAATCTAGATTCAAACCACATAACAATTTACAGAACTAGAAAATTTAATATGTTTTTTTTTTTTTTTCTCTTTATTTTGGCAACAAACAGTCGTTATAAAAACATATAAATATACAAATAAAAGTAATTTTTACGATAGACATTGAGTGCCGAAAATTTTTTACTTAATTTTATTTTTAGTGTTAGTGTTATTTTTAGTTTTAGTTTTTTATAATAATAATACTTAAAAACAATTTTGTACACTTATACAAACAATTATTCTCTTCAATACAAAATGTTTGTATTATGCAATAATCAAACCCAATCGGAAGAAAGCCGGTGTACAAATGTCTTTAAAAAATATTTCTAGCATATTACCAATGGAAGGCCTGGCTACAGCTAATGGAAACTTGGGACCATATTCAGCAACCAAGTCCTCAGTGATTGCTTTTGTGTACGAGTATGTGTTTGGCTCTGAAGCTATAAGCCTGTAATAATGTATATTTCATCAAAACTAAAATTATGACATATGGTGTTATATATTTATAATTAATTATTAGACATATATAATGGAAAAAAGATAATACGAAATATAGGTAAAATTCATTGAGCAGGAACTGTCATTTATGATCATTATCTTCTATGATGTATAATCGATTAAATACCAAAACATGCAGCCAGATTATTATTATTAATATATTTTATTTTGTCATAAATCTACATTACATTAGTAACGAACTAAATGTAATCCGTTTTACATCCATTTAATCTGTATCTAATTTTGAGACTGTGCTCTACGTAGTTTTGTACAATAAACAATTATTTATATAAAGAAAACATGGGTATTTATTTTCATTCCCACCTGCTATATCATGACTAACATTATATAAAACATAATAAAATGTCCAAAATTAATTTATTTATGAAAACAATATATTACGTACTTAGGTTCCAAGTACTCCAGTGTAGCATCATCCATCCATTCAACAATATCCATGATTTTCCGGGGCTTGTGCACTGGCGGATATAGTTTTTCTTCCAGTTCATCTAAATAACAGCGACAATAGGCTGTTGATAGATGCACTAATGCCTGTAATTAAAGACTCATTCTAGAACAATCTCGAACTTCCTATTAATAAAGATATTCCTATTATGAAATACAAGCTGCAAATTAAGTCTAGGAAATAAACCAATACACTGTTTTTATAAACTCTACAATAAAGTCTGTTTAAGAAAAAATACTTCATATTTACGTCATAATTACAGTTTTCGTTTATTTTTTATCTGTGGTGTTTTACCTGAAGGTTTTTCATAGTTTCCGCTAGCTGTAAAACCCGCAGCGTACCTCTTGTATTCATATTGATAGCATCTTTCAGTCTTAAGTCAAATCTGAAAGAATAATAAAAAGAAGCTAGCATCGACGACGTATCTTAATTATTGGTACTTTTATATAATACTAGTAAACAATTTATTCTACAATAACCAAGGTACACTTTATGTAAAGTCATCTCCGCATACCATTATAACCCAGTATATTCTATTTCTAATATAAATAATAAAGTGATGACAATATATAAAGGAATATATTAGAAAGAAAAAGATTACAAAAATGTTATAAACACTAGAACAATAATTAACTAACACAAACCAGTCCAATGAAACTGTTATTTATATCTGATTACGTATCAAATGCTGCTAAAGTACCTACTCGTACATTACATTCTCAAATTCACTATTATCTAAAAAGGAATGTGTCTTGGTCCTACCTAATGCCTATATACCTACAATCTGAGAAATCACTCAGTGAAGGGATCATTTTTGAATTAGAAGAAGAATATAATCAAAATCTGCTCCATAAAAGTTTAGGTTATAAAAATGCGACAAATGAAAATTTAATTGTAAATAATTAATACTTATATATAATAATAAATAATATTAACAAATGAATGTTTAAAAAATATAAAAATATAAAACCGGCTTCGTCGATGCACCGTCTATTAAGTAGGTATCTACTGGTAATTAAAACTAGATAATCAACTTACGAATACGTGGCACCGTCTTCAGAGGAATAAATATAGGTGTCAGGAATATTGCATTGTATATATACAATATATTGTATATATACAATATAAATAAATTGTCTATCTCAACTTTTTATCTCGCTTCATTAAATAATATGACGAGATATCCGTGTGCTTTTCATATGTATAGGGAACAATTATTACTGACTAATAGTATAAAAAAATATTCTGTATATACCGAACACATGCAGCGCTGTGGAAGACGATATTGCAGCGTTCTTGCAACTCCTTCCTGTCTTCAGGAGATATTCCAAGTTCATCTTCTAAGATATCTCCGGCTATTAGTTTCAGTTTTTTAAATATATTCGGTGTCTTCTCTCTTAGATTTTCGAATATCTATGAAAACAAATAAAAAAACATTTATTCATGTTTCATTATTTTATGAGGAAATTACAGTCGTTTATATATGTGGAGTTTATTGTTTTTTCCCTAGTGTCTAGTTTAATAAACAGATTCAATTGAGAAGAACGGACAAGAGACTCAACAAAATTTCTTTATACTATCTATTACTTATTATTTTACTTTACTTTCAAATGCTATCAATAAGCGGCAAAAGTTACTACATTATAGATAAATTTAACGAAACGTACGTTTTTGGGAACTTTACCTTGTTAGCACTGAGATCGCGTAGCCTCTCTTCACTATTCAATCCTTTCTTTGGCCGCAATAGAAGATAGATCGTGTCCAACTCAGGACAACTACGAAGCAACTTCTCCACCATGGCCTTAACATATAAACATTACGATGTATTAAAAAAAAATATTGATTTGTTTCTGCTCAGTACACGATTATAATGGATTAACGCGGGTAAATTAATCCAAAGTCAGTAAATTACAGATTAAATGAGAATCTCTCCCCTTTTTGAAGTCATTAAATTTAATTCGGTGTATTTTATGTAAGTACCTACTAGAAAAGTTCCTTTTAATATAATAAATACAAGTCTGTACCATTTAGAATAACCATTAAACTAATTTCTTTTAGACCACTTCCGTGCCACACATGTTGGGAAATTTTGAAAGAGTTAGTTTTACACAATACTTTAAGTCGACACTAAAAATGGAGTATTCAGAATAAATGTACGTACTAGCTACATCTATTAAAACTAACATGTTGTACGTATAAATATATATCATTGCCTTACTTACCTTGCCTACAAAACCTGTACTCCCAGTTATAAGAATGGATTTTCCTTTATAGAAATCTGGTACTGAAGGCGCCATTTTTGCCTAAAACAACATAAATACGCAGTATAATTACCAACAGGTAAAGTAGAGTTATCAAATTGTAGAATTAATATTGTATTAAATTGTACTCATATTAAGTAAAACACTAGAATCCAGGAGTTGGCATTTAGGCGCTCCATAAGTCACGCAGCGGGTTTAAAGTGCCTTCTGCAGTCGTCACTATTTACGTCCGGTGTCTCTGTTCTCGCCGGCTACGGCCAACATCATTAGAATATGTATTTGGAAAAAAATACAAGAATCACGCTTAAGAATTACAGTTGTAAATAACAGGAATTCCTAACATATTTTACCCCTTATATTATATATTATTCATCCTTTTCAATATATCAATAGATTTCTGAAATTATTTATCATTATGTTACATAAATGCAAAGAAATAGCCATATAATTTGATATTTTATGTAATATTGTATTATTCATCAATAGGTATTGATTTTTAAATTTTGAGTTTGTAATATGCGAGTGTTATTAATAAAACCAATATCTACAGGATATAATGTGTAACAACATAAATGGACGATAATGAAAACACCACCTAAGGTAACAAGTAACTTCCTCGACTTATTGAAACTTCCTGTGACAAAATGATTGGCAACATACAAAAGATCCTTTATTTGGACATCATCCTTTAGAAATTGACTCTAATCGACTTTTTGTATTATTTGTTCATAACCCTTATCTATCTATCTTCACGCTTGGAGTATTAAAGGAAGGCAAAGGGAATCAAATGTCAAGAAATCAATGTTAACAATATAGACTTCGTATGAAATCTTCACTCATTTTTGTCGCCACATTTCCATACCCCTCAACTTATAATACAGCTTGTGTTGTAAGTTGAAGGGTATGGAAGCAATATTATTCCACAATAATTAAATAAAAAAACATTGAAAACTAGACTAAAACCTGTTGCATAAATTAAAAGATACATACAGCGGCGACTTTGTTTCATAGTATGTATTTATTTATGTTTATAATGTATAAGGATTTCTAATATTTTACTTATACCGGGACTAATATTATTTCAATGTTGATCTTGACTTCCCTTTTACTACTTTTTTTTTATTTAACAGGCTTGAAAGTCTAGCGGTTTTGCTCACCGCATTTCTTCCTAAGGTCGTGGGTTCAATTCATCACGCAATACAAACATTTAAATTCATGAGTATCATTGTTTGTATTGTCTATTTTTTTAGGCATTATAATGGAATGGTGCACCCGTCTAAGCTAATGGTATGCTATATACGCTGGCGGGGCACCAGTGGAGGAAGATAAAATGAGCATGAGGTCAAGTCAGTTAGCCCATCGTGACAAATTCACCAGGAATTTATTAGGATAGTTTCCAGGGGAAACCAGATGGAGGTCAACCTGACATGGTACATTGCCACGGGGTCAGCAGTCCACATTAGGTAGTAATAATCCCCTTTCCCCCTGTATTATCAGCCGTACGTACGTACCGTGAGCTGGTTTGTCATTCCATAAAGAAAAACTACCAAAACTACCTGCAATTGATTAAAGTATTTATCTTTAGAACCACTGCTTATTTGTTTGCGTTGTGGTTTAGTAGAACTTGGTAGTACAGTCATAGTCGTTCCGTTTATTTCATTAGGAAATTTTGTCAATAGAAAAATTGTTCAGTTTCATAAACAGAACAATTCTTCTAATGACAAAATTGACGTACTTTCAAATTGGAAAATTTAAAATATATTTTGTAAACAATAATACGAAATTCAAATATTCTATTTCAGATGTCTACTATGTTTATTTACAATATTTGTTTAGTTTACTTACTATCCGACTAACCGGCTTTCGGATTAGTAAATCAATTAACTAACTAACTATTTACTAATTAGCTACCTGTTATGTGAAAATATAACATAACTCACCTGATTTCAGATCGTTCAACTCAGAATAATTAAAACCGGCAAAATTATAAATGTATACACAATGAACTACCACGGACAGGTCGTGTGCATGCACTAGAGTGTAACATTCAAAACTGAAACTGTATGACTGAATACATTGAATTATTACTGCATATAGCATAGCACCTTTCATTGAGTAACAATGCATACAGCACAGAGTAGTTTTGGGCGTGCAAAACAGCGATAATATTCACTGCACTTTGAACCTGCTAACATATTCTGGAACTGTATACTGTGTTCGATAATGTGTGATTATCGAACGAACTAAATATATATGTTAAAATATTGTATTGGAATGAAATAAATCATTGATCGATCGATCGAAAAAGTATATTCACTGATGTGTGTCTCAATAGTGCGTGAAGGCCGAATTAGTCCTACGGAATAGAGAGTAGGACTAATACATTGATAGCCAGAACACTAATAGTAACATTAGCAATAATTGATAGAATTTTAAATATATTTTTGTCCGGTAAAAGTATACAAATTGGCAAGAATTCAGTGTCGAATATTGTGTCTTGTGATGCACTGGCGAAAACATTTGAAAGCAGCAAAATTCCCATACCTAATGCTGGGTAATGCATGACACTCATTAGATAGAGTATATCCCAGTATATACAGTGTATTTATTATATTGTATATGTCTCTAGGATATTAGCACAGTTAGTTACCTCCTATTCTCTATTTTATATTAGATTACCTGCTCCACGTGACTATATACGCATTTTAAAGAAAAATATAGCCTGTTTACATACTCATGGTACAATCTCTCTTCACAGTATTATGTCCCGTCCAGCCCTTTATTCGGAAAGAAAACAAATGGACAGTTACGTTTTCTAGTCTAATCTGTTTCTCTTCTAGTTTGCTTTAGTAAAGCAGAAAATAAGTTTCAACTGACTTGACAGTCTAAATTATATAAAAACTGCATACGTCGATTATCTTTTAATTATTTAAAGTTATCGATTAATGCACTAAAGGCTAGTAACGTAAAAAAATACACATACATAAAATACAATTAAATACAATGAACAAGCGCCTGCAATTCTTGCCATACAGTCGTTGTAGTTACTCAGTTTTGATATGTTGCATTTTTTGCAGCATTTTTCATTATTATAAGATGTAGGTACATTCTTTATTACACCATTTAATAGTGTGTTATTATGTGTACACGGTGACGCGCTCAGGAAATCTTTAATAATAATGTCTAATAGTTGAACTGAATTTTAAACATAAATTGTGTTTTAAATCCCACGTACTTTACGACATTTATTTTTATTTATATACTAGCCAACTGCGTCTCCTTTATTTCATTAAGCATAAGCATCGCAGTTACGCACCTAATCGTAGTGTCATCTTTTATACCCTTTATCCTTTCCTAGATGAATGTGCAATCCAACGCTAAAATAATTTTCAAAATCGGATCAGCAGTACCGGTTAATATCCCAATCACTCAAACTCACAAACTATATGCGTACATGTGTTACTACATATATTAGATTAGTATACATGACTACCCCAGCTTCGCCCATGTTGAGGCTTTGTTACTCGCTAATAATGTTACTTATACATTTGAAAGAATTTTCAAAATATTTTATTGTTGTCATGAATTATCTATGTCTAGATAATTCATAGCCATAAAAAATATTTTGTTTTTATATACGTTTAGATATATAGCACAACCACAGATAACATAATATTGCACAACCAACGCTAAATGTTTTGGACGCACTTCAAAAATAAGAGGTTTACAAGTAATATGAATTAGTCACAATTGCGATGGGCTATCAATAATCTGACTTCATGCTCATCTTATCATCCATTAAAGAAATCCAATAGTAAATCAAACGCGTTTTGTCTTCATATGAAAGTTTTTATAGTAGATAGATACATTTATAATTTAAATGTACATGTTACAGTAGGTATATTTAAAAAAAATAATTATAGCGAGAATGAGTTTCAATATAATAATAATAATAATAATAATCTTTATTTGTCTCAAACAGAAACTTTTTACACAATACAACTATTGCCCATAGAATAATATAATTTAAAAACTAATTAATGAGACAAAACGGTCTATAACAGTGAGGTCAGTGAGTCCACCCTCTCTGCTATTCTGTTATAGCCTTTATCAGTAAAATACAATGTGAGATCGACGACGACTATAGCATATTAGGTTTTAAACTACAACTAACAAAGTAAACATAAATGACAATAACAAACTTAAAATAAAAATAAATCTAAACATTATTCAGGATTAGTTACAACATTAAATATAATCTAAGAATTATTCAGGGTTATTTTATCATATATACCATCAGACGCAGACTTGCGTGTACACACATACATATATCGACACAACTTAGATTATCGATACTTCACTTCAATTGTTACACTAATTGACAATATCAATTATTATTATTATTAGCTTCCTTCCAGAAACAGTATTTCCAAACCAATACGATATTGAAACCTTCAAGATACTTATCTTGAACTGTATTCCTTTTCAAAACGCCGGGAAATCACCTGCAATTCCTCTCGTGTTGTGGGTGCTCATGGACGGCAGTAATCACTATATACCTGTCAATATATACCTGATACCGGAATCATAATTGCAATAAAAAAAATCTCGTCATTTCCGCATTTTTAAAGTAACTTTCTTTTAAAATTATCATCATTTGCTTTAAACGAATTAATAATCATCGTTACTTATTCATGCACTATTGTTTCATTTCCAAATTATATATTTATAACTTCGGTTATCATAATTGGACTAATTAGATACACAAGCCGCAATTGTTGTCTTATTAATTATTTACGCGATTATTATTGGATGAAAGGGATGCAACATCATAATATGTCATAGAAGTATTTATATACATTTAAACATTATTAAACGTATAAAGCTGTGTTGTGCATGAATGCTTCATCATCTGCTTCTTCCCTATCCCATTCATTTGATATCGGCATAATACGTCTTTCTTTTTCATTCATCCCTGTCCACAGTCATCTCGTCATGCACTTCCTTTCTTGTCATATCATCTCATCAGCTATCACACAGTCTGTCCATCACTTTTTCGGTTTTCCTCTACCCTTATCCACGTTCATATGCATATAACACTTGCCGGCTTATATATATTTAAGAACTGACAATATTGGATTGAAATTGAGATTAGATTCATGTAAATACTTGCTGTTTTATGATAATCGATACTCAATATATGTCGTGATACTACATAATTAAAACAAGCAATTATAAAGTGCGTACTGAAACTGGAACCTTCGGAATAATTAACTTGGTCGAGTAAACAGTTCGTTGCTTTATTGACGTGGCCTGTGAAATTTCCTGAATGTTATAACTGTGACCGATTTTTTTATTGAATTTTTATTTTTTCTCTTTAACAGACGCATTTATTTATCTCTACTATATCTATGTAGCTATATCTGATTATTAGCTATCTGTATTATTTTATAACAATGTTATTTTACTATTTGTAGGTGCTTCTGCCGCAATTATAATCGACCACAGGTGGTCTATCGGTTTTACACGTCACATTTTCATTAGATGGTCGCTGGTTCAATGCTTGCTCAAAACAAACATTTATTAATAGAATATTATTTCTGTGAATTGTTTAGTACTAGTAGTTTGGGACTACATGACACTATGTGAAAAGAGTTATACCAAGTTATTATTATTATTATATTATAAAAAAATTTGGAATAGGTACGACTTTCTACTTTTACTTGTTTAGTTTAGAATCTTAAAACAAGTAACGAACGTATAAGAATAATAAATAATATACATATACTGTAATATTTTTCACGTATGAGATAGCGTATTTGTATATTGGGTTCATTCTGTTCAAAGTGTTCTGAGAAGTTATAAAAAATAAAAGTTCATATAATTACTAATATCAAATTTGTTTATTTGGCTTATAAACAGGTACCTAATCCCTTTTGTTATTTGTACACATTTTGTCCGATTTTTTTTATAAAAAATTCATTCAAATATTAACAACATTATTATTCCTCAAAACAATTGAAACAGTTAACTACTTTATCTTAATTAAATCAATAGTTATTTACAATAGTTTATATAAAAAAGATTTTTAATTTACATAATATCGACATTTATAAAATGCATTTCGATTTTACCATATTATTTCTATTATTTTAATATTTCGTTTTTTTATTGTTTACATATGTTAGTAAGTAAGTATATACATAATATAATGTTTTTTGTTTCATATACATACATACTACGAAAATGATAATATCAAATATTAAACTACCTATCCGCCCCTGCTTTGCATGGAATAATATATTTTCTTGCGGTAAATGAACACATTGTACTTTAAATATTTCAGTTAGACCTCTAGCACCTTTGTACATCGGTGAAAGCTGCATTTAATTCCATGGAGTAGACTTTGGGTGCCTCGTTTAAAAATATACAGACAGATAGACAAAAATCTGAATAATATTGTTTTCCTTTTGATGTTCTAATAAATTAACAATACTAGGCATCGGAATATTATGATTTTACTATATGTTGAAACTGTATCGAATGATACACAAGTGTATAACATTTTCGTTGGGATGTGAATATTGAATTACATTCATAAATCATGAAGAGAACAACTCCTATCAACGTAAGACAGATGTGAATTAAAACAATAACAAATTTAACATATCAATTACTTAAAATATGAACATATTTCAGTTAAGAATGGACAAAAACAATTTTAAATAATAATATATGAAATAGATACATAATGCGTATATCAGAGCTTGCATCACCTTGTCGATGTAGTATAATCTGAAAGCAAATGAAAGTATACTTTCACACGAGTATTAATTCTAATAAAATACTAACTATAACCGCGACTTCGCTTCCATATTTTTTATATGAAAATTCGACTTCATTCTTTAAGACCAATACGTCCTATGTGTGTCCTCGTGATACAGTTCATCTTCACGTTAAATTTAATTAAAATCCATTATTGGATTTAGTCCAGATTTTGGAGGCATTTAGTCGCGGACAGATAACGATCAGACAGACAGACATACTTTCGCATTAATAATTAATAGTTATAGTATTGCTAGTCGCGGAAAGTGCACTTCTTAGTGGTTTGCAATCCCATTTAAAATTTACCAGATTGGGCAAATTTTCTTTAATTTTCAACTTGAAAAAACTGTACCACTTTGTAAACAGTTGATTACTAAGTAACTAAGGTCTATTCTAGGTATTATTCTATGTATGTATTTTATCTATATACATAAATAAAGTAGTATTTAATAGTATTTAATCTCAATCAGTTATTTCAGATTCAGATTTTAATAATAAAGAGTACAAACTCTGCTACTTCTAGGTATGATGATGATGATGATAGATGCAGCCGTATGAATTTTTAAGGTTTATTTTCTTTTTATCTACATTATTGAATACAATAGTAATAAATAAACATAATTAATGCATACTTTCGATTAAGTGTTAATGACTATAAATAAGTATCATATAAAAATCAGAACTTACTGTTGATGAAGTTTCCTGGCTTTGGGTAGAGTTGCTGGATCTTCCTTCACGCAGTAGTGGCGGGCACCCTGAATGTAGTCTCTTATGTACTGACTCCAGTCGATTAACTGCAAAAAATATATATAGAAATATAAAAAAACTTTAAAAGTAATAATAAATCATCACACATTTGCATCTTGGACTTTCCCCACTAAATTGTACTCTCGCCTGAATTGATTTCGGAGGCAGGACAATAATAAGAATTACGAAAGTGATGAATGATAATAAAGATTACTATTTGCCTCCGACGAGGCATACAATTATAACTGTTTAGATATCGAAATGATTTCGGAAATATTCCTACATGCCGGCTTTAATAATAATATAATCGTTAATATTAATATATTTTTTTAGTTAATAGCATTCCGAGTTACTATAGCTAGTAGCATAAAATATTTGTTATTCCCTTAAAAAACTTGGTTATCACAGAAATAAAACCGAAATTTGATAATTAATTCTGAACTTTCATATACTCGTTATAATAAAATGATCATATTATATTATATATTTTTTAATTTGACCATAATCTCGCCTATGTAATGTCGAAGTGATGGTGATGACACGGTCTAAAATGTTACACGCAAACTCAAATAGTGCCTATTTACAATTGACTTAAAAGACCTAATGTTGTAAGAGGAAACATACACGCTAGGAATTGATTTACTTTTCCAAGAGAAATTTAATTTTCCACTTTTCTCTATTCGTGAAAATCTTTTATGTATACCTAAAATTACTTACCCCGACATCAGTATAGAAGGTCTTGTCGTCTTCATCAGAAATCTTTTGCCGAAGTGCAAGTAAGTTGTCATTTTTGAAGTACCATTCCTTTGTCGTATAATATTGTAGGACTTCTAGGCCATAGTTAATACGTTTCTGCATTTTCACCATGCTGAAACATATTTAACAGTGCGAGTTTTACACGACAATATATAATGCACAACATTTACAGGTGTGCCGGCGCCGAGACTACTTTCACCGCCACTACTAGACACCGTTTTAAAGCTCGGGGTCGATATGCGCGGTTTAGCTGAGTCTCTTCATTATTCAATTCAAAATTATTCATGATCTTACTATAAGAACCAGGCATTAATCTATTTACAAGTACTTTGGGACACAATTACATGTAGACTGTTCAAGAAGCAACAATGCTATTAGGCTTGGTGGTCGTTAGTCGACAGACGACTCTTATGACAGGACAGAATTAGTAACGGAAGTCGTAAGCAGCAACGGAAGTACTTTCTATTGGTAGATTAAAAGGGAAGTACACGAAGCAGTCTCCAACTTTGCGAAGGAACTACATACGTATACCTACGTATATAACTTTTAGGCTGAAATAGGGTAGAGAGAGAGGTAGTCACGCACATTATAATTTTTAAAGCTGTCTATCTATCTGTACTTTACCTTTTAATAACTAAACAGCTCAATTATATATCTCAATAAGCTTATATCTAATAAATGTAGGTAATATCTAATAATATAATATTTTAAACTCATTACAATACAATATTTATTTAGAATTCTGACGCTCTATTCATATTTAAAATCATAGAAGAAAGTACAGTGCAATTTAGCTGTGTATCAATACACGAATCATTTTATAATTTTTATACTATGTGTAAATAATAATAACATTCACTAGTAAAGTGTTATTTTTATAAAATGATACTTACAATGTTTTTTTGCCCATAAGAATCATCAATAAATCCACTAGATAGGCAGGAAGCAAATGTGTGAAGAACGCGGCAATTTGATGCTGAATCTTGGAAGTTTTTGGGGATCCACCAGGATACCATAAGCAAACAGAGAATGGGAACTCTTGGACGTGGATGCGACCTGAAAATTGGGTGCCTCTAATTATAGATTGCCTCTAGATATTGTAAAAGATAATTAGCAGAACTTTTTTATTACAGTTCTAAATCACGAGGTAAAAGAAAAAAATATATACCTATACTTACCTTAACGCCTACATATGTCCTCAAACTACAACATTAGATACGTATTGTATTTCTGAACAATATTTTTGATACCTCTAGTAGGGACAGAGCATTGATAAATATTCTTTCCAAATGTTTATAAAAAAAAATGAAATTACTTACCTAAATCTAGTGCCTGCTCCCAAGTAATAGGATTTTTCCTTGACTCAGTTATGTTGCAAACGGCGATTTCTTTTGGTCTGTAGAAATAAGAAAAACAAAGTTGTTTTGAAAATAGAACAAAGAAAATTACAACGCAGGCCACAACACGTGGCCTAAGTTATTGTAACTATTTTCTTTTCAGATATTTATACTAAAAGAAATATGTTTTCCCCGTGCTGACGCCGCAGATAATTATGCGCATTGATTCCTATGTAGGTTATTTATGTTTATGCAAAGAGAGGCATAAAGGGACGCCAATTGACTGAACCTTATAATGTAAGCCCATGTGTCGCATTCTGGCGACATGACGTCTGACAGACTGCCTATAGTACCTAAGCCTAAGGATGAGAATTTAGAAAACATATACAATGGCGGAAGCCTTTGCATGGTGATGGTTGTAAATATACAACAGGTATACTATACTCACTTTTCTATGGCTGTCGTATAAGCAAGAAGTATACAGGCATTGACCACGATGTCCACTGGCACTACATCTGCCGCATACGTCCCATTGCAATGCATTGTACGTATTGCACCTGAAACATTACAGCAAAACAATCACTTTATATAACGAACTCGGGAGTCTAGCGGTTTAGCACACTTTACTCTTTACTTCCGATGATCGCGGGTTCGATTTTTCAGACAGTGCAAATATTTGTACTAAAATTGTTTGTATCTATCTATTACAGTTAGTCTTACACGGTTCTAAATTTTATCTATTTATCTAAGATTTGAAGTCGATTATATTATTTTTAAATAGAACAAAATTACATACATACATATGTAATAAAAATACATTTTATTACTTTATATTATTACAATTACATACATACACAATATATACCTATATTTAGGTATATATTTATTTTTAGGGATATATTAGGTATATATTTATAATAACATTAATTATACTCCACCGTGTCTAATATATATATTTGCTCGACATAGCTAGTCGATGGATTTCTTGTAACTTAAAACGATGTGGAATAAATTTACAGAGTAAATATTCTTATTGACTATATAATATATTATTTGCTTAATACTTAGGAGCTACTCTCATTCTAGCATAATGTCACCATAAATATACATATTTTATTGTAAAATGTACTCTAATTCTCTTTTGTCGAATGTCCTGTTTTCTACACGATTCTAATTTCATAATTATTCGTACGGCAAATACTGTGCCACATTTGTTGGAAACAGGCAATTATTACCTATAGATATAACTAATGAATAATAAGACGTTTATATTCCAGACTACGAGACGAGATATATCCATTACGATATTTTTAATATATGAATATGAAACGCTGTCACCCGCCTGCGCTAACTGGTTTCATTTCAAGATCCATCTATTGAACAAATTATTTCATACCTTTAGACTCCTAATTTATCCTGAATTATTCCTGTTAGACATACGGCAGTGGAATTGTTGTTTACATACATAGGCATAATATCTCACTACTCCGAAATAATGACATAAGAGTGGGTACGTCCGGGGCGACCGTTGCCACTCACTTAGGTCAGCTTGTCATTCCAGTCACGTAAAAAAATCCAGACGAAAAAAAGGGAAATTTTGAGTACCTATAACCAAAGTACTGAAATTCATATGAAACTCACCCTTTCCAGCACCAACTAATAGTCCAGTGGGACCATTCAGATTATCGACCCACCCAGGCATAGGTTCCTGCATTGCAGCTGTAACTGTAAGAAAAATATAGTTTAGTGATTTAAACTAATATTAAAAAAATTAAAAAGTGTTTATAAATATTTTGATTGATAAGAGAATTTTTATATTAATATTATTACAGAGTTTTATTCAACGTCACAAATAACTTAAACAAAAATTAAATAAAAAAAAATACTTAAATAATATTTAATATCCATTCAGGTGTATGCAATCTTGAAAATAAAAAAAAATCAACTTACCAATAGACGGCCTTGCTATGATGATAGGGAATTTCCCGGCGTACTGTGACACCAAATCTTCTGTAAGCGACTTGGTGTAGGCGTAAGTATTGGGCTGAGGTTCTATCATTCTATAATAAGTAATTGATATAGTGAGACACCATATTTATTACCTATGCGAGTCGCATAAGACACAATAGCACATATTTAGATGGGTTGTGAAGTAAGATGTAAATATAATATATGTAAAAATAACTTTATATTATCGTGGACTGTAGGAATTAGCATATAAAAAAAAAGTTTGTATACACATATGGTCGTCTATGCAAGTTTCAGTAGTGAACGCGTATTTACTCTACATTACATTACTGGTTTGGTGGTAACTACTCTAATATAGCCGGAAACTGCGAGTGTCCAAGTCAAATGCCTTTTCTGTAATTTTTTATCTCTCATTGTGACGGAAGCAACATCAAACTCGAGATGACGGTAGATGACCCCTATTTTGAAATTGATTGAAATATAGCCAACCAAATGTGGATATATCAAGTGTTACGTTCACTACGACGTCATGATTGACAATACCTCAAACTACCCTGTCTGGGACGTCGAAGTTAGAATTATCTTTTTCTCAATTTACCACTAATATGTAATATTATATTATCTGTGCCACTAAGGAAATTTTTCTAATTATTTTTTTAATACTGCCATAACCAGATTAAAAATATTATCGTAATATCTTACTTCGGCTGCATGTGTTGCAAGAGCTGGTCGTCCATCCACGATATACATTCCATCACATCTTGGGGCTTGTGTTTCGCTGGATATACCTTCTCTTCCAAAACTTCCACTTCACATCTGCAGTATGCAGTAGACACGTGTACAAAAACCTGAATAATAAAAAGTTACTTTAACATCTGTGATACATTGTGGTATTCTCGTATTTTCTCATCTAGTAGATGAGAAAATACGAGAATACCACAATGTCTCTACATTTCTTAAGTAGGGTGTGACAAACTGACAGACGGCGCACCTAACGTAAAGTAATCATCTCATGTAGTCATCAACAACTCAACTGAAATTATATCATGATGGTGACGTTGGTGGTACGCCTCATACGCTGCTATTCCTGAATGATAAGGTGCCACGCCTCGGTACCAAGTAACTTCTGTATCATATAAGATCATCAAATCGGATTATATTTTATTCCTCTGGCATATATGAGACCATAAATATTTAATGTGGAAATCTGACCATCACTAGAAGCTAAGACCTTCCCTATTAGTGATGAAATTCGTTATTGGATTTACACCTATATTGCGATATGTGTTTTGTCTCTTAAACTAATTAAACAAAATAACATAAATCTGTGAAATAACGAATGACTTCCGCAAAATAGCATGAAATTCAATAAAATATATAAAAGAAAGTAAAAAATCTATCAAATCGGAAAAAACTTACATATTGAATCACAATATCGCACGAATTATTCCCTAATATCATACCATAAGCGAACACACGATAGCCTATATAAAATATACATTCGATTTAGTCTGTAATACTTAATTACTAATTCATTATTATCAACATAATGTAACATAAAAAACGTGATTTAGAGATTTACAAAAACAATAAATCGGGACGATCTGTATGTGAAAATACCTGTAGGTACTTTACCCTTTTTAATATAAGGAGGTATTGTACCTTAATTCTCCTACAACGCATGATGAACTATCTGTAGTGCTGTTCATATACATAGACAGAAGATATTATTCAATAATAAATCATTTATATTATATTGTTGTAATAAATAAATGAAATAAATGTTCTTCTAATGAGTGAGAAAAAAATGAAAGTGACAGTGAACTCCAGCCACTAAATACAGTAATAAAAATTTGTTTCTGTTATAAAAAAATATTCTTCAAAGCCATCGCGCAGATTTAATATAGAGAAAAGTGACCAAATATGGAATACCATTTTGATTTTAGGCATAATTTCCACAAATCTTATAAAAGCAAAACTTTTTGTGGTAATTATTAACAGTCATATATTTGTACTTAATTTGTGAAAATATTAGGTTATATTGATTCCTTTGGGGTAAGAAAAATTCTCAAAAACTAAATAGTAATAATGGTACCCATATATGGAATAAGTACCCAAATATGGAATACCATAAACAATATAAAAAAAATATGTAAGTAATACAATATAATACTGCTAAAACATACAAAAAATCATCTAAACAGTATATAAAAGCTATAAAAACCATACTGTGTGAACTTTCTGTAAGTGAAATATTAATTTTTTATATAGCTTAGAAACTTTTGTGGTAGCGATAAAACAAAACACTGTCACAACGACGAAAAGGCTTCCGCGAATGACATATATTTTGTATGCGTAATGACTATAATTTGTATGCGTAAATGGGAGTAGAAAGAGGTTGAAAATCACAGTCTATTTAAATGTGTGAATTCGCAGTTTAAAGAAATGGACGAAGTCCATATTTGGATAGTATTTCATATTTGGTCACTTTCCTCTAATATTGTAGTGTATTTAATAATCAAAATGTGGAGTCATTTTAATAATCGTTAATTCTTTTAAAATAACTGTCATATTGCCCGTATGTTATAACTTTTAAAAGTATAAGATACGAATAACAAGATGAACTAATATTGTAACAGATGGACACAAACGACACAGGACAAAATATACAATTCTTAGGATATTTATAATAAAAAAAATCCATTATTCCTCTAAAACTTTTAAACACAATTTGGATCTAATCAACGAAGTTTAATAATGGGATACTAAGCTTTATAGTATCTAATTTCAGAATCAAATATTGCACGAAAGTTCCTGTTTGCATAGATTTACAAAATATGTTGTCTTTACCTCCAGCTCTTTCATGCCCTCCGCTAAATCAAGCACCTTCTTTGTCCCCAAAGTGTTCATGTTGATTGCATCTCGGATGAACATGTCGAACCTGTCATTATTATATTTAAATAATTAGATACATGCACAAGGTACATGAGGATATATAAGTGTTGGGAAAAAACGGCTATTAGATATATTTTATTTTCTAAGTAACATAAGTGACAAAAACTTATTTCGTATAATATTAAATAGGAAATATATATTTATTACTAGTATTTACATGACCTAATTGTACAACTAAGAAACTAAAATTAAAAAGCTTAAAAAATTGAATATGATGACTAAAATATATTATTAAAAGGGGTCCCTTTAGGCAACGTTCCGAAGATACTGGCAGCGTTCCCTCTTTGAATAGCTAGACTAATTCGTTGTCCAAGGTAGCTGCCAGCTCTTCGGTCTTCTGTGATGTATAGGAAATGTTTATCCCGATTTACTATGATACGAAATATGTTTTTTTTTATATACGATAATGAAATAGCGCACCTGATTGCGATAATGGTATATGTAGGCGGGGTCCCAATGTATATATTCAGGTCAGTTAAACTATTGTGGCCAGGGAAACCGCATGAATGTTCCCATTACCAACCCAATACCCTTCTTCCATTCAAGGTATATATATTTTACATAACTTTTCTTCAACTTTTGAAACAAAAGAGAATTACCTTACACAAGCAGCGCAATGAAACAAAATCTGGCATTCCCTCTGCAGGAGATCACGATCGTCATCGGATATGCTTAGATCTTTATCCAAGATGTCTCCGGGTATGACTTGAAGCTTTTCTAAGCGTTTAGGGTAATCATTCTTTATATGATCGAAGATCTGAAACATGTTTGATACATCACAATTATTATATTTAGCTGTGCCCGCAGTTTCACCCGCATGATATTTATATGTTTAAACTACATATGTTACTGTAAAGTTTTTGCTTGAAAGAGTAACAAACATCCATCCATCCATACTCACAAACTTTCGCATTTATAATACTAATATGTGCCCATAAATTTTATGGCATTTTACTAATTATATCATAAGTAAGTAGGTATTCCAAATTCAGAATAATCAATAACAGCAATTTGAATAAAAAAATAATGGATTTCATAAGTCAGATCAAATTGAAAAACAATCGTTCTGATGACGCAACTAGTTTGTAAAAATCAAATACTTTTGGTACATTTACTTTATATTTAGTAAATAATCATTTTGTAATACATTTGATTAAAAATTACGGCAACTAGTTCGTTTAATTATTTTATGTACATATTTAACCAAAGCCTAAAGTAAATTTTCTAATTTGTGTGTTTTATGAATTACGTTATATACCTATAGCACGTTGTATAAATAAATCAGTAAAAATCCTTTTTTAAGAATCCATTTCGTCCGTAAAATTAAACATTAATAATAAATAAATAATTTGACCCTAGAATAAAGTACTTTGAGAACTAAGTAGTATGAGTAATTCATTGGTCAATATAGCATATTTTTTTAGAATAATTTGCCTTTTGCAGACTCTTTACAATCTGCTTGAGCAAATCTGTCTGTGTATGTATATATAGGTTTTAAGATCAAGCTTATGTAGTGTGCAAATCAGTCTGCATGACTGAAGAAGAAACTCTCTACTATAGAATCTGTTATACATGTACCAGATTGCTATATGATATCAAAGTCACGGTATGTGTCTACTGCACAATGCAAATTACTGCAAATTTCTTACTCATATACCAACAAATTTATGAATACAATAGTTCACTACCATACTTAATTTGTAATATGTCTGACTAGTGACACTACTTACCAAACAGTTTATAAATGTTTCCAATCTCTCCTTAATATTTTGTCCTTTCTTTGGTCTCATTAACAGATATATCCTTTTTATGTCTGGACAGGTTCGAAGTAATTTCTCCACCAATACTTTTCCCATAAACCCCGTTGCTCCAGTGATGAAAATTGTCTTATCCGCATAGTATTCTTTAACGCTCGTAGATGGCGCCATATTAACTTGAGTTTTATCTGTGAACAATACCACAAAAGTACTCATTTATTTACATAAAATATAAATTTAAAAACTAAAACAGTAACTACCTAAAAAGCTTTGGTCATATCCTATCAACTGATATAAAAAAAACACAGAACAATAGATGACATACGATGCGTATGTAATTTCAGACAAGAATAATCATTTTTCACACTTTTATTAGATTTGATTTTTTATTTCAATTTTAGAATTTATTTTTATTAAAATTATATTTTCAGATTACAATTTATTTTCTGGGAGAAAATTCTTGGTTCACGTCTGAGGCATAGTTTTAGAAATGATTTCCAATTATCCAACTATAGCAGAATCGCCTGAAGAAGTTAATAGTATAAATGTACTAAGAAAGCCTTTGTCTAAGAAAGCCTAAAGTCTTAGTTAGGTAAAAATTAATTAGTTTCTAAATTCATCTTCTACCTACCATTTAGACTACTTATAAATCTATTTTAATAATTATTTTCGCGGTCCAATAGAATTACGGTTCTGCGGGTTTTCACACATGCGTCAGAATTGAGTTTTGCTTTGAGTAAAGTAACATGAATTATTATCTAAATAAATCTTTACTCATTCTAAATATCAAAAATATAATTAATCATTGCAGTTTCGACAAATAAAAAGATCTTGTCGGAATAGAACCGACTACCGAGGCCACTCGTTCACTCACTGAGAAGTTAGGCAATGATATTAGTTAATTTTAACCGCAATTTTTTGCTATATTACGAAGCTATATTATGTTTGATTTGCTGATATAGATAATGCCGGATCGCAGTATCTTCATAGGTATATAACTCCCTAAACTTTCGGCCGAGTGCCGACATACCTAATTGATTCTGTAAATACCTACTCAATAGAATGTTTCTCTTTTGAACCGACTTAATAAGATGTTGGTCTTATGTCGACAGTATTTATTGTAATATGTTATGCGATATCTTTACACAGTTACCATCGATGTATAGGCTTTGTAAAAAACTTTATATCTCACCAAAATATGAGATATATCAATGGAATTACAGGATAAGACACATGACATCATAGTCCTCCGATAGCAACACATGAGTGGAACAATAGGTATCATATGACTGTGTGGCATCCCTAGTGCTGTTTATGTAGTAACGCGGGTGAATCGCGGGCACACTAGTACTATACTAGTGTGCCCGCGATTCACCCGCGTGAAATTTATAGCCTATGTGTTATTCTAATGTGTGGTTCTGGGGGAAGATTTCCAGGGGCAAAGCTCATTGCCACCAGACGCGTCGCAGGTTGCGGATAGCGAACGGCCTTCAGATATGGAGGTTAGCTGCGAATAACAAATAAGCAGTCGCGGACAATGCAGCGGTCTGTCGGAGAGGTGCTGGGGAGCCCATGGCGGGGTATACCTTGATAAATAGCGCGCAAAACTCCATGATGACGGATGGCAGTGGCGAATTAGGGCCGCCACTATAAACAAAGCTCTTATGCTCGGGGAGTTGGACCTCGTCAACCTTGGTTGGTAGTTCAAATAGGAGAAGGAAAACTCCGATTTTAAACCAAAGAAGCCCTCCTGGAAGAATACTGTGAGGTGAGGCTACCGGGGAAGATCAAGAAAAGAATAATAACCCGAGATAGCAGGTATAATAACTTGCATCCTACTATTCCCAAGGAGGGTTGACGTCAGGCAGGCGGCCGGTCAAAAAAAAACTGAAGCCAAAACCATTCTCTCGTAATATGAATTTGAGTGAAAGAATTGATGATCGGACTAGGGCGTACCCCCGAGGCGACGCGCAGGAGCAGCACCCGGCCACTGCGAGAAATGGAAAAGGGTTGTTGCACCACAACGGGCGGGTGCAACGTAAGAAGCAAGTCCAAAAAATAAGAGAAGTATGTATGAGGTGTGTTAGTTGGAATGTAGGTTCAATGACTGGAAGAGGAAGAGAGCTAGCGGAGGTATTAAAGAGGCGAAGAATAAATGTGGCGTGTGTACAGGAGACTAAATGGAAAGGAGCGAAAACTAAAGAGATTGGGGAAGGATATAAGTTTTACTACATAGGAAATGATGGAAAACGGAATGGGGTTGGAATAGTGCTAGATAATGAACTGAAAAATTGTGTGACAGATATAAAAAGGATAAGTGATAGAATAATAGCTGTGAAAGTGATAGTCGAGTGCATGATTCTGAATGTCATTAGTGTGTATGCTCCTCAGACAGGAAGTGATGACGATGTAAAAGCAAAGTTTTGGGAAGATTTTGATGGCTTGATGATAAGTATCCCAGAAAGTGAAGAGCTATATGTTGGGGGTGATTTTAATGGACATGTAGGCGTACAAAATGTAAACTATGATAGGGTTCATGGGGGGAGGGCAATTGGCAACCGAAACGAGGACGGCGAAACTTTATTGGAAACTGCTTCCGCATTTGACCTAGCTATAATAAACACTTGGTTTAAGAAGAAAGAGGAACACCTTATCACCTATAAAAGTGGCCAGTATGCGACACAAATAGACTTTTTCCTGACGAGAAGAAACAAGTTATGGACTGTGAAAGACTGTAAAGTGCTGCCGGGGGAAGATCTAGTTACACAACACAGACTATTACTAATAGAAATAAAAATTAAAGTACAGATAAATAAAAATAGGAAATGCCCCCCACCTAGAACTAAATGGCGAATGATAGAAAAAAACGAGTATGCAAGCAGATTCAAGAAAGAAGTTGTAGATAAAATGATTAGTATGAAAGACATGAAAGGAAAAACAGTAAATGAATGTTGGGATGAAATAGCACATTGTATAAGAATGGTAGCAAAGCAGGTCTTTGGAGAAAGTAAGGGAAAGTGTATAATAGATAAGGATACATGGTGGTGGAGTGAAGAAGTACAAAAAATATTAAAAGAAAAGAAGAATGCTTTCAAAGATTGGCAAAAGGTACCTACAGAGAATGAACGGCTGAAAGAAGAGAAAAAGATAATGTATAAAAAATTTAAAAAGGAAGCAAAAAAAGTAGTTGCAATAGCCAGAACAAGAGCCCTAGATAAAATATATAGGTCACTTGATGACCCTAGTGGCCAAAAAGAACTATACCGGATAACCAAAATGAGAGAAGAAAGAGCGAAAGATATGAAGCATGTAAAATGTATAAAAGATGATACAGGACAAATTTTGTTGAAAGATGATGACATAAAAGCACGTTGGAAGGGATATTTCAATAAACTTATGAATGAAGAAAATGTGTGGGATGATGCTCTAAAAGATGTCTCAGTAAACATTGGTGTAGTGAATGAGATTAGTATGGACGAAGTAAGAAAAGCAGTGAAAAGTATGAAAAATGGGAAAGCACTCGGGCCAGATGGTATACCAGTAGAAGTATGGAAATTATTAGGAGATGATGGCTGCAGGTGGCTGGCTTTATTCTTTAATAAATTATTGCAAGAAGTGGCGATCCCTGAGGAATGGTGCAATAGCTCACTAGTGCCCATTTTTAAGAATAAGGGTGATGTACAGGATTGCAATAATTATCGGGGAATAAAGCTAATGTCGCACAGTATGAAAGTATGGGAGAAAGTGATAGAAAAGCGATTGCGTGAAGAGACGGATATCACCCAAAACCAGTTTGGATTTATGCCAGGCCGAAGTACCACAGATGCCATATTTTCACTGCGTCAGCTGTGTGAAAAATACAGACGTGCTCACAAGAACTTGCACATGGTGTTTGTCGACCTGGAAAAGGCGTACGATAAAGTACCCCGACCGGTTTTGTGGTGGGCCTTGAAAGATAGAGGAGTGCCAGTGAAGTATGTGGAGTTAATTCGTGCTATGTACAGTCAACCTCGTACATATGTGCGGTCGGCCGCTGGAAACACCAGCGAGTTCAGTGTGGCTGTAGGCTTGCATCAGGGATCGGCTTTAAGCCCGTACCTCTTTTTGTTGATAATGGATGCCTTGACGTCGGAGATACAAGAAGAGGCACCCTGGTGCATGCTATTTGCAGATGACATTGTGCTCGTTGGTGAGGAGGGGGCTGGGATACAGAGTAGATTGGCGATGTGGCAGCAAAAGCTGGAAAGCGGGGGCTTAAAAATTAATGTTTCCAAAACGGAATACATGTTTTGTGATTTTGGCGGTCTTTCCGGCTCTGCAGCCATATCACTAAATGGTGCTCCATTACCGATTTGCTCCGATTTCCGGTATCTAGGTTCTCTCCTCCAAAGCAATGGGGAATTAGACAGGGCCATAAAGCATAGAATTAACGCAGGATGGATGAAGTGGCGGCAGGTTACGGCAACGACGTGTGACTCGCGTGTTCCTCTTAAGCTTAAGGGGAAAATTTACAAGACCATGATCCGGCCTGCTGTCTTGTATGGATCAGAGTGCTGGCCCGTAAAGGCGACGGATGAAAGACGACTGCATGCAACTGAAATGAGAATGTTGAGGTGGATGTGTGGTGTGACAAGAATGGATAAGATAAAGAATGAATACATTAGAGGAAGTATGAAAGTGGCACCGGTGTCAGAGAGGTTGAAGAGTAATCGTCTATCATGGTATGGACATGTAATGCGTAGGAACGAGGATAATATTTTAAGAAAGATGTTACAAATGAATGTGGATGGTTATAAGGGCAGAGGAAGGCCAAAAAAGAGATGGATGGACTGTGTGAAAGATGATATGGTAAGAAAGGAAGTAAATAACGCGATGACTGCGAACAGGGATGAATGGAAACGAAAAACATATTACGCCGACCCCAAATAAATGGGATAAGGATGAAGCAGATGATGATGGTGTTATTCTAATGTGTCATTGCAAAGTTTTATTAAAATGACATTTATAATATAAAAAAATAAGATGCTTATTTTTTTAACATAATAAACTGGTGACTCGTCAGCTTCTTGCCATTCGAATTTCAAAAAAAATATTTTTAAAGTTGTTTAATCAAAATGTTATGTCGTTAAGTAGATTTTTGGTAGCTGTTTTTTTTACCTACTAGGCATAGGCAAAAACCTAACGACCC